GCTAGAATTTTACCTTTGGATGCTTTAGGATTGAAAATCTACAAAAAATCCAAGCAAATCCTATGATTTCCCTTTGGAATTTGGTGAAGAAATTTGAGAGAAAAAGGGGTGAGGGTGGTGTGTACAAGGGCTGAAAATAGGTTAGGGTTTCTTCTAATGAAACCTTAAATCTAATAATATATATAGAACAAGTTACATCCACGTTGAACCCCAGAATATGGAGCTCGCTGCACTAGTATTGATCTCCTCAAAGATTACACTTTACAGAAGAATCTTCTTCACTGATATTCCCAGAAAACAAACACTCACTCACTTCCCTATATCCCGCAAATCCTAATAAACCCTAGAGTGTTCTATAACCTTCAAGGAACCCCTGCCCTCAAATATAACTCTAGATAGATTCACACAGAGAAGAAACCCAGAATGAGTATGAAACCCTAACCCAGACCAAACGAATTTTACAGAGAAAACGAAACGAATACCTAAACTCGATTGCCCTCAAATGAGTGAATAGTCTCCTTTTATACTGTTGACTTCTGAATGCATTTGAGCCGTTGGATTCTCTTTATCGTTGATGGCTGAGATTCATTTGGAATAATGAACAAAACGACAGTGTTTTGTTTCCTATTAAACGACGTCGTATGCTTCATTTATTTAACATCACTCAAAGGTAGTAAGTGAACATAATAAACATTTAATTTAAGGGAAATCAATAGTAGAATAGCCACCTTATGTTTAGGCTTTGCGATTAGGCATCTTGTTAACTTTTTTTTTGAATTAGTTTAGTAAGACTTTAGATTGACGGCTATCTTAAAAGTCTATAAACACTTACTTACTCTAAATTATAATTATTTCTTTAGGAGAGAAAATAAGTTAGGTTTATTGTAGGTAAGATTAGATTTATTTTTTACTTAGGACTATTAAATTAATTTATCTATGATGTAAATATCATTATAGCAGAAGATAAATACCTACTAGGCAAAGTTGAAAACGCACCATCAGGGTAGAACATACCTTTAATATGCTCACTAACGTCTCATATGAAGACCAATAACTATTTAATGTCAACTCTAGGGATAGAGTAACGTTTATTCTTATAAAATAAATTTAGACTATTGTTATTTATCTTCACTTAAAAATCATAAGACAAACAATATGGAAAAAAAGCATTTAATTTATGGTTTTTAGCACTAGGTTAATTGCATCATTTTTAGAGTTAGTTATTAGCAAAGAAGGAATAGCTTGGTTTGAATATCTTATAATCATGGATACTGAATTTTTGAATCAATATTTGATTTAACTTCTAGAATGCATAGGCAAAAAAGCACAAGAAACATTACAAACTCTCCTTTTACCACATTTATCTTTAGGAGATACGATTTGTCATGTGCGTGGAAATAGGATAGTTAATTTTTTTATCTGTGACTCTTGCATAGGGTTATATAAGAAGCAAATCTCACCATGGTAGAAGATAAGGAAGGATCTACTAGGCAAAATTTAAGACGAATAAACAATGAAGGAAAATTATTCAATAGGTTGATAAATGTCCCATATGAAGAGCCAGACAAATATTTAACCTAAACTCTAAGAATTGAGCAAAATAAATTCTTGTAGAACCTTGTTATATTAAAGTTGATTGTCATCCTCGAAAGTGGTAAATGAAGATAATGGCAAGAAACATTTAGCTTAAGGGAATTCAATAGTAGACTGACCACGTTATGCTTAGGTTTGATAGTGTGGTGCTACGTTCAAGCTTCAAAGATAGTACACTAATATTATATTAGAAGATAAAATATGTATATTTATAAAGACATAGAAGACGAAGTAAGATTTAGGGGTACTTAATCAATTTGATGTGTTTCAAAATGTGAGTTGTGAGTGTTTCATTTTATACTGATTGATTTTAATGAGAGCTTGAAATTGAAAGAAAGGTAGCTAAGAAAGGTGCCAAGAAAGTGTGAGAAAACGCGAGAAACTGAGAGAAAATAAGTCTGAATATTTCTGTGCAAAAAGTAACTAACGAATACTGTTACAAAAGTGTGTTAAAAAGCAAACTGACCCCAGTCAACAAGTCAACTGGTTAGTCAGACTAGAATTACAGATTTGGCCTTTGCCTAACTGAAATTACAGATTTATTCTAACATTCCCTTGTAAACTCAACCTCCACTGAAAACTTTCCAGCCATAATGATCAATAGCCCAATTTATTCATTCAGCAAACCAGAGCAACCAAAAACATTCATCATGCAGCATAATACCAGTAAACTCTCCAGTCACAATAATCATCAGTCCAATTTGATTTTTTTTTTTTTTTTTTTTCAGCACACCACAGCTCAATTTTATTCATTCAGCAACCAGCAACCTTTGTCACCAACAACCAAAACACCCATTCTGCAGCATAATACCATTGAAAACTTTCCAGCCACAATATGTCAGCCCATTTGATTTTATCCAGCAACCAGAACAATAAGCACTTCAGTTCTATTTACTTATTCACCAATCCAGAACACTCAGCCACATTCATTCTGCAGCACACAACAACATTCATTCAACAGTTCTCAAAAAAATTCAGCTCATGCTCCAGCGTAGCAGCACCAGTCGCAGCTCTCAAACTCAGAACAACACAAACTTTTCATCCAACACAGAACATTCATCCGCCATTATACTACATCAGGCAGCGCTTAAACTAAAAAAAAACTTCAACCAAAAATAACAAATCACTCACCTCCAGTCAAAGCACCAACAATCAACAGCATAAAAAAAATCAATCAGCACACCAGAAAAATTCTGCTCAACCAAACATATCAATTATTCTCCTCAGTCAAACCGAAACATATCAACTACTCTCTTCCAGTCAAACACAACCAGCACCAGTATATTTTTCAGTATACAAAGTAATATTAAACCTCCAGTCACCTTCAGCAAACCAGAACAATGAGCACTTCAGTTCTTAAAAAAAAACTCGCTCAATCAGAAACATATCAATTATTCCCTCCAGTCAAACCAGAAACATATCAACTACTCTCCTCCAGTCAAACACAACCAGCACCAGTATATATTTTTCAGTAAACAAAGTAATATATCACCTCCAGTCACCTTCAGCAAACCAGAACAATGAGCACTTCAGTTAAAAAAACTCTGCTCAACCAGAAATCAGCAAAAGTATTCAATTCACCTAGCAGGTATATCAGTAGGTGACTTTGAAATATCAGCAGGTGATTTTGAAAGAGAGACAGGAGCAGCTCGAATGGTGAGATTATCCCTCAAATTTTCAAACCTGGACATGGGAAGCTTTAGTAAATATATCAGCCTTCTGATATTCAGTAACACATACTGAACTTTAAGTTTTGGTTGTAACTTGTTCCCGCACATAGGCATCCAACTCAATGTGTTTAGTTCTTCCGTGAAAAACAGGATTTGAGCTAAGGATCCTGCACTTTGGTTGTCACACCATATAACAGGAACTTCACTAATTGGGAGACCAATTTCAGTAAATAGGTTGCAGAACCAAGTTATTTCAGTAGCTCCTTGAGCCAATGCTCTATACTCAGCTTCAGTGGAGGTAAAGAGCCCACTTTCTGTTTTCGGAAGTCCACTGCAGTATATATTACCCAGGAAAACACACACCCCGGTCGATCTCTGTCATGCAGACTGCTGGTCCAATCAGCATCCGTAAAACATTCTAAATTAAATCTCTGTGTTTTGCTAAAAAAGAGACCAAAATTCATGGTCCTTTAATGTATCGGAGCAGTCTCTTGCAGGCTTGCCAATGCTTTGGGTGGGAGCCTTCAAAAATTAGCTCAATTTGTTCACTGCATAATATATCTGGTTTGGACAAAGTAAGATACTGGAGAGCACCAACAGTGCTCCTGTATAGGGCTGGATTTTCATAGGATCACTATCATCCAAGGAGAGTTTAGCACCACCGACATAGGTGTAGAACATGGATTCAGTCAATCATATGGTTTTAAACCAGAGATCCTTAGCTATCTTTCTTGACTCTATGGAGACCAAATTCATCTCGCGAAACTTCAAAACCAAGAAAATATTTTAAAGACCCTAATGTTTTCAAGGCAAACTGAGTATTCAGGTGTTGAACAGTTTCTTGAACCAATTGAGGATCATTACCGGTAAGTAGAATGTCCCCACATAGACTAACACGTACAATATGGTGTTCTTATTTTGGTAAATAACAGCTAGGATCAGCAATTGAGGACAAAACCCCATTCAAGAAATGCCTTTTTCAACTTATCAAACCAGGCCCTAGGGGCCTGTTTAAGACCATTAAAGCCTTGGTTAAACGACATACATGATGGGAAATTTTGAGCTAGCAAACCCTTCAGGCTAAACCATATACACTTGCTCCGTAGATCTCTATTGGAGATGCATTATCAACATCCACTTCTGAATATCCCAACCATACTCACAGCCAAAACCAGATTACTCTAATAGTAGGGGATTTTAAAACAGGACTAAAGGTTTCTAGGTAATCAACCCAGGTGTTTGCTGAAACCCTTAGCTACCAGCCTTGCTTTAAACCTCTGAATAGTGCCATCAGGATTATGTTAACCTTAACACCCACTTACAACCGACAGTATGCATATCTAAAGTGGCTGGAATTAATTCCCGGTATGGTTAGCCATCGGCATCAAACTCAGCTTGCATTGCAGCTTTCCAAGATGGATGAGAAAGAGCCTCTGTAACTGTAGTTGGTTCCTTAGAATCCATAGGAGGAGGTTACTAAAGCTGTGTTGTGTGCCCTAGCTTTGACCTGGATCATGGGGTGAATGTTTTCTGCTGAACAACTGCTGAGGATAGATAAACTCAACTACCAGTGGAACAGTATCAAATGAAGTATTGATGGGAGAGATTTGGTGAAGAGATGGGAGAAACATTAAGGTATGGGCTGTATTTGGGGCTGTGTTTGGTGCTCTGTTTTGGATGTAGAAAGGTAAGACCTGCTGTGTTGGGGGCTGTGTTTGGTGTTCTATTTGGATGCAGGGGAAGCTAAGACCTGTTGTGTTTGGGGCTGTGTTTGGTGCTCTGTTTGGGGCTGTGTTTGGTGTTCTGTTTTGGATGCAAGGGAACCTAAATATGAGATATGGATTCAGGTGAGAATGTTGACTGAGAATTAGACTGAAATTGTATGGCGAACAACCAGAGGACAGACATTTAGTGGGCTGTTTGTGAGAGGAGTTTAAGGATGGAAGAGGTACATCCAAGCATTATAAAGAGGAGGATTTGATGAGTTATTAGAAGAAATAGGAACAATAATAGGGCAGGAATGTTTAAAAGGAAAATCAAGTTCATCAATTTAGCACCTTTGCAAATGTAATCCTGCCAGAAACATCTAAGCATTTGTATCCTTTATGATGCAGACTATAGCCAATGAAAGTGCATTGGAAGTATGGAAGTTGAATTTGTGTGAGCTATATGGCCTAAGAAAGGGATATACAGCACAACAAACACTTTAATATCATAATAATTGGGATTCTTATGAACAATATCTGAAAAGGTGACTGATTAGACAGCACTGGTGAAGCAGCCTATTTGTGAGATTGGGGGCAGTTTGGAAAGCATGCCACCAAAATTTGAGAGGCTACTAGCTTGGGCAAGTAGAGTCAAGCCTTGTTCTACAATTTGTCTATGTTTCCTCTCAACCCTTCCATTTTGTTGATGAGTGTGAGGACAGGGGTGCCTAAAATGATTCCATGAGTTTTAAAGTAAGGTACTAGACTTCTATATTCCCCACCCCAATCAGTTTGATCACATTTGGAGTAGTGTCAAATTGTCATTCACTAACTTATGAAACTGTTGTAAATCTGTATAGGTTTCAGACTTAGCTTTTAATGGAAAATCCATGTAAACCTACTGTGATCACTCAAATTGTATGTATTATTTGAAACCTTCAGGTGTAGGTACTGGAGAAGGTCCCCAAAGGTCAGAGTACACGATATCAAGTGCTTAAGGGCCTGAAAAGTAGACCTAGGATCACGGACTGGTGTAATTTACCATACTGGCAGGCTAGACGAAGAAACAGAATTTGTGACTGAATATGGTAGATTCAAGTCCTTAAGGATTTTAGTAAAAGCTGAATGTTAGGATGTCCTAATCTATTGTGCCATAACATAATATCAGTTTTTTGAACAGGAAAAGATTCAAAAGTATGACTTTATTTACAGTTACAGCATCAGAATTGGATACATTGCTAGTCATTAATGTTTCAGTGCATGCATTATTCAAATGAGTAAACTAAGTATTACAATCTGAATGAACATATTCGAAATAGGAGCTAAAACAGATTTATTATTTGAAGTAACACTATTAGACTTAGTAAGCTGATAGACAAAGAAACATCAGGTTTATTAGCAAGCTTGGATTAAAAGAGGCAGCCAAGCTTGGAGAGGAATGAAGAGATGACTGAGCTGGAACTTGAAGTTATACAGACCAGCCTTAATTACCCCTTGAAGTAGAATTGTCCTGGAGGTTATGTCCTTAACCCACAATAGTTAGTATAAAACTCAACAAACACAGGATTATCCCTAGTCACTTAGACACACTAGCAAGTTTTGGTAATAGTGGGTACACATAACACATTCCTAAGGTGTAAAGACTGGAAAGCAGTAGGTAACAGTTGAACCTATGGGAAATAGATAAAACTCCCATTACCCACTTGGAGCTGCTCACCACCAGTGTAGCTAGAGCTTGCTGTCAATTGTGCAAAAATCAGAGGTCACATGGTCTGTAGCTCCAAACCATATACCACGCAGCATCCTGAACAGTGAAGGTGTAGCTATTAGTTGATTGCTACGGGGGTAGGCAAATAGGGTGTGATTGTGTTATAAAGCCTGGTTCTACCCTCCTGTAGGACCTATACTAGATGGAGAACCAATATTAGGATGGATGTATGTGACATTATTGTGTGTTGAGGAAATGTTTCCTGGAGAGTGTACTGAAGGTCCGATTAGCATTCTGTGAGTAAGTATGATGGGCTGGGTGAGTAGTTGTTTTGGCTATACTCATGGGATCTGGAAACCAGCAATATTAGCAGAACCAGAGTTATGTATGAAGTTAGGTGAACTGTTTGTAAAACCAGGAGAGGGAGAATGTTGTCCTGTAAAGTGAACATCACCCTATGGTAACAGTTTAGTGCAAGGTGCCCAGTTTTTCCACAAACTTGGCAAACAAATCTGTTCTTCCTCCATCCTACCTCTATCTCTACCACCAGGACCATTATGAAACTGTTGACTATGTATGAGTTCTGAGCATATCCAGGTGTTAAACATGGTTTGATTTGAGTAGGTGGGGCATATGATGAAGGAGAACTATGAGTTGATCACTTTGAGGTAGGGTATTATACTGAAGTTTTCCAACAAGGTTTTGAGCATCTTGAGGTAATTGAGATTTCTTATTACTGGTGTCAATAGCAAGATTGGCAATATTAGCTGAGACTCCATGGAACTCATATGGATAACTGAATTCAGGGCAGATTTGTCTTTTCCAATCTTAGCTCAAATTTTTGCAGGATAATTTGAGCTTCTTGAATAGAGATTGGTTCTATTCTAGACTCTAACCTAGAGGTTATATTACTACATCAGCGTCATAATCTGAGTCAAGACCATCTAATATTATTCAGTAATTCCTCATCCGTAACACTAACCCCACTAGCAGTCAATTCTTGCAATCCTTTCTCTCTTAAGAAAATAGGCATGCATGCTAAACTATCCTTCTTGTATTCTGTAACAAGCTTTTAACATGTAATTTTTGGCTCTAGATTCGTAAGGAATTCCTTTTCTAATGTCCAGATTTTAGTGGCATGTTGACATTTAGCATTATAGTAAAATTGATTCAGAAATCGAAGACAAAAACCACCCTACGAGCATGTCAGTTTTCTTCCACAAAGCATACTCAGGATTAGGTTTCTTGATTACCTCTGTTTCTGATTGAACTCTAACGAAAGGAGCTGGGCAAGAAACCAAACCAGTGAGATGTTCCTCAAGATTGTGTGAGCCAACAGCGAAGATTATTTGAGACTTCCAAGAAAGTGTGAGAAAACGCGAGAAACTGAGAGAAAATAAGCCTGAATATTTCTGTGCAAAAAGTAACTAACGAATACTGTTACAAAAGTGTGTTAAAAAGCAAACTGACCCCAGTCAACAAGTCAACTGGTTAGTCAGACTAGAATTACAGATTTGGCCTTTGCCTAACTGAAATTACAGATTTATTCTAACAATTTTTAATTGGTTAATGATTTTAGGCCCATAAATCGTTATGTGAGGCTTGCAACTATATAATAGTTCCACATTTTATTTAAATTTGTTTATTTTATTGTTAGTACAAACAACTGTAGCAGTTGGTAGCATGATCTTCGAGAACATGCAGATCAAGTTTGAAGGTCGTAACTTAAATTCTACATTTTCTTAAGTGATTTTGATTTCATGTTAATCTTTCACTCCTTGATTAAAGCATTTGTTTTATAAGTTACACAAAAAAATCTTCCATATTTGGTGCAAGTTTAAAGCTATAAGAATTCCTCATTATAAAAAAACTATTCACTCGTCACACCTATTTATAGTAGCATTAAAAAGCCATTGCAAATAAATTGTTTTTACATCGGCATTTTCTCTTCATTTTATAAACTCATAACAGGTTTCAGATTAAACAATCTAGAGTGCTTGCAACTTTCATAAAATGGTGAAGACTCCCTAGCATCTACCCACAAAAAGATAAAAAGCATTATCATACATAGTCATCATTTAACTATCTCCAATTTCTCCTTTCTTTTGTCTTTAGTTTTCTACGATATTGATAAATATTTCAGTGGTCTTATGTAAACTTTACGTTATTGTCATAAGATTTAATTGGACTGAATTTCAGTACAAAATTGGTATTACCGTATAATTTAGATTAGTTTGGCCAAGGATTTGTATATGAGCCAAGTATTAGTGTCAACTCTAATGTATGTGTGCTCAAATTGTATGTTTTGTATACAAGAGTGGCCCCTGTGGTCTTGTTTGGTGGTATGATGTATATAGAATTTATACACAATAGTTTTAAATAAAAATAATATTCGTTGAACTTTGTAATCATGGGTTAAAGGTTGTTGATTTCAATTAATCAAACGCTTAAACGTTTGAACAATTAATGGAATGTGTCTTTGAAATAAGTAACAATGTTCCAAGTCCTAACAAAGCCTGATAATTTTTGATATGTTTGAAAATGTTGAGGGTTTTTAACTTTTGATGAATTTTTACAAATAGGTTTAAAAAAGGTTATCTTTGTCAAAGAAATTAGCGTTTTGAAGGTGGTTATTTTTGCAAAAAAACTGTTTAGAGTTTGAAAAATGATTTATTTTCGAAAAGGAACCCTAAACCTCAACTTTAAACCCTAAAAAAGTAGGAAATATATTTTCTTTAGGTTTATAAATAGCAAATTATATAAAACTCAACAAAACTTAGTAATTTGTAATAATGGAAGTTTGAGAGTTGAAATTTTCTATTATTGGTGATTCGGAAGATGTAAAAATTTCTTGAATCATCATAATAAACTCAAGTTGGATTCTCGCAATGTCATTGTGTAGTATACTAATCTACATGTAAAAATAAAAATTGTACATGAATTTTAATAAATGCAATCAAACGAATTACATAGCAAATTAATAACAAACACAAAAGGAAAACATTCACAAAAATGTTAATTTTTCTCCATGCATTGGACCCTTTGCTAATGGAAAAATGTAAGCAAAGTGGTTAGATCAATTACAAACCCATGCAATAGCATCTAGAAAAAAATTCTCAAGGACAATGTTGACAAGTAGAAATAAGTTATAAAACATAAAGCACTCACTGAAAACCCAAAAACCCCTTCTTTGAAAATTAGATGTGAATTTTCAAAGCTAATACTAATGTGAACATGATGACAAATTGCAAAGTTAAATGATACCTACAAAACAATAGGAAACTGATTTTCTTTTGGTTTATACATAGCAAATTATTTAATACCTCGACAAAATTACCAACTTATAGTGATGAAGTTGAGAGTTGAAATCTTCTACTGTAGATGATTCAGAAGGTAAAATTCTTACCATTCAAAAAAAAAATAAAAAAAATAAATAAATATGATTCAGAAGGTATAGTGCCAAAAGTAGGAACTTGATTTGCTTTTGGTTTATAAATAGCAAATTCTTTAATACCTCAACAAACTTTACCAATTTATAGTGATGAAGTTGAGTCACTACAATTACAAATGAGTCTCACTAAATTATTATTCTTAAACATGACTATTTTTTAGAAAGCGAATCAGTGTTTTAAAAATGGTTGATTTTTCAAAAATAATTAGGATTTTAAAAATGAATATGTAAGTTATTTAAGGTTCCTCAAATATATTTATGGTTTTAAAAAGGTTTTTTTTTTTTTAAGAAAAAATAATGTTTTAAAATTGGCTATTTTTGCAAAACATATTTAGGCCTTTATAATTGGAAAAATATTTACAGTTTAAAAATGACTACTTTTGCAAAATAATTTAGCATATAAAAATGACCCTTTTTGGAAAAAAAAAAAATAGGGTTTTGAAAATAGATTTTTTTTTTTTTTTTTAATATAGAGTTTTGAGAATGGATTTTTTTAAAAGAAATTTAGGGTTAAGAGAATGAATTTTTTAAAAAGAAATTTAGGGTTTTGAGAATAGAGTTTTTTAAAGAAATTTAAAGTTTTGAGAATGGATTTTTTTAAAAGAATTTTAGGGTTTCAAGAATGGATTTAAAAAAAAAAGAAATTTAGGGTTTAGAGAATGGATTTTTTTTTTCAAAAAAATTAGTAAAAAATCAATTTTTGAAACCCTAAAT